GTAAACCAAACCCTTATAAAATACACTACCCCCTATAATGTGACATTTACAACACTACCCATTGATTACATCAGCCTGAACATACGTTTTATACACCAGACAGACAAAATTAATTTGGCCTGACCTGCTGACGGAAAACCAATGAGAAATTAAAGCTCCTATTTTGGACCTTGAAAACATACTCAGATTGTCTAGAAAAATGATACTCGGCTGAACTTAAGGGACTATCTTCTGCTCCTGAGCCATGGGACTTAAAGAAAAGCTTTCTATATAACCCTCAACAGTGACACTTATTGTGCCTCAGTATCCCTGCTGTGAAAGAAGGAAAATGACAGTCGCCTGTTTCCCTGGTGGGAAGGAAAGCCTGGGAGGTCTCACGCACAGTGACAGGAAGATGAGGAGAAGCACGTATGAGACAGATGTAGACAGAGAAAACCTGGAAGTTTCCAGCTTGGCCATCACTCCTAAAGACATTCAACCTTGGACATCAAGGACACTAAAGCTTCCAGAAAGTGCCCAGGTACAAGCAGGAGGGCCACGAGGCTGTACCGTGTCTCAAGGGCAGCCAGAGCTTGCAGGTCACTTGACTGAGTTGTAGCTATGCAGGGAGAACGCTGCAGCTATACTGAAAGCCAGCACCTGCATCTGGCTGTCCCTCAGGCAGTCTTCAAGGTAACTTTTAATTAAAGGTGTGGATAACAGCAAGGAACGCCACTGCTGAAAAATGCTCGTGACCTCTTCGTCAGAGTTATACACTATTTCAGGACAAGCATGACTTGACGCAATTTCAACAGCATGGGTGGATCCTGCCTCTTGGCCTCAAGAACAAAGAGGGAATATATCACACCCGTCACAAAAATACATCCTCCCTCCTTTCCCAAGTACTGCCAACAAGCCACATCCTTTTACGCCCAGCCCCAGGTGGTGGTCAGACGCTGGGTAGGAAGAACATCCTTCTGTCACGGCACCACAGCCCAAGCTGCCCCTGCATGCCCTCTGATGGTGTGGATACAAAGTGCTGCTGAGCTTTGCTTCCTTCTGTGCAGAGGAAAACACCCATGACAAAACAAAAAAGAAAATGCAGTGCTCCAGGGACAACTGCTGGAGGTAAAAAACACAAGACAGAATGAATGGCTGCAATGTGGTTTCCTCTAAATATTCAGAATCATAAGTACAAACATTTTAAAATTTAGATCCAAATAGTTTGAGATACGAAGTTACTTCAAAATACATCACCTTCCCTTGCTGGATTCTGCTTTGTCACAACAGGGGTTTTGAGAAATAAGGATATAATAATTTGCTTTTCAGGTTGGCACCTCTACCTCAAACATCCTCTTCACTGTCACTTGGGCATCTTAGAACAGGCACAACCTTTTCAAAGACCCACGTGCTGAGGCACGTGGCAGTCACCATGCCACCACTCACTGACTGGGGGATTTGTGCCCATTTTCCACTGTCGTTCTACAGAGACAGGAGTGTGAAGCAGCCAGCCTGGAGGTTTCGCTCCCGGAGTGGTACTGGGCACGGGCTGGGCAAGAGAAAAACCCACAGCTATTGAGCAGAAGGCTTCACAGCCAGACATGAGAAACAAGGAAAAGGAGATCCTGCAGCTGATGTCATTTACAGTAGACTGGTTTTGGCTTAGGTGAGGAGTGGGTTATGTTCTACCCAGACCACTCGATGACTCAATAATGAAGACACTGAGATATGCATGGCAAAAGCATCTAAAAGGCCTTATATGTACAACAGAACCAAACCCAGATCTTAATGAAACAAAAAATAAAAGAAAGAGCAATTACTGAAGTACTTATGTGGTACTGACAACTCATTTTAGCCAGAAATCATGACTTCTGGGTAGAAATGGGTAAAAAAAGTCAACACAGTAACTGCTGCAACAGGAATGCTGTGGAATTGCCACCACAAACCCATGACAGAGTAATGGCATGAAATCCTTGTCCTTAAGGACCAGCTCCTATCTTCTAATTTTCACATCTTTGCATGAAAAAAATACTTGTAGCAGCAGCCACAAAAAGACCTGCAAAGCAAAGAATGACTGAGTGCCCCGCCTTGAAAGGCAAAGCATGTGTCTCATGATTTGGAGTGAGCCCTGTGTGCATTAAAAGATGTCAACTGGAAGGCACCAACAACTTGCACTCAGTTGATTCGACCCAAGTAAAAGCTATCACGATTCCTGAGCGAGGAAAATACTTTAATGGATACTTTGCTCAACTGATTTGTTAATAGTATTCCCCCTCCCTGCCCAGAACGGGGCTCCATGGTGAACCCAAAACTCCTCTGAGAGGGGTCTTTGCTTCAGAGCTGCTGAGCAGCAGGGTCAGCATTAGCTGGTGCATGAGCTACCAGCCCCCTCTTCCCTTCGTACAGTATCACGCCAAGGATGTGCTCACACACAAAGGGATACTAAACTCCTTGGAAGGCTCCAAGACGAAGCAAACATTGTCAGTGTCAGTTCACCCACATAAGTTGAAAAAAATGGAGACTTTAAGTAAGCACTTCAGAGGTGCTTTAATGGCAGAGAATATTGGGAATTTAGCATTAGGAGAGTGTCCCCCTACTTTACACTTTCTTTCTCCTCCTTCCTCCCTCACAATCAGCTTAGGACTAAGATGCATATATATATTTATATACACTCAAACATATGCTCATATATGTATGAATATACACACACACACAAAATTTGAACTACCACCTACTGCTGCATGAGAAATGAGTAATTTTATTTTTTTTTTATACAACTAATTTTCAAGAGTATTTCTGGCTCCAGCACACACCGTTTAAATGCAGTTGGGAAGCTGAAGAGGCAGTGAGAAGTATGAGTGAGTCAGTGTAAAAGAACTGCGAACTGCTTGCCTATTCATGTGCAGCTGAAGTACAACTGCCCCATAAAAGGATCCTTTCAATTTCCTTTTGCATCCACTTCTACGGGAGGGGAGCAAAAAAAAATAATAAAAAAATAAATCAGTATTTGCCTGGGACTTCAGAAATGGATTCAAATGCAATTACAGCTCCTACTCCTAAAGGATACAAAATTTATGAAGTTATTCTTGAACTCATCTCTTCAGATATTAAATTGCTTTATGAGGAACAAAATGGACTAGAATAGTAAATTAAATGTTCAGTGGCAAACATGAAAAAGACTGAAATAAAAGCGCTATCTGTATTAAAACTACTGTATATAGGCCCCTGTGAGCTCTTTTATTTAAAATATTTTAGGCATCTTTGATCAGATATATGAAAGAAAAGTTTTATATCTATGTATTTTATATATCGGGATATGTAATAAATATAAGATCTATAGATAAGACAGGTAATAGGTATATAAGACAGTTCTATGTATCTACCTTGTGTGTGTATATATATACATATGATGAAAATAAAAGCAAATTTGTTTCAATTAGAACAAGGTCTGTACTCATGTATTATTCTAAGAGAACATATTCCAATTAAAATCTAAACAAAATATACAGAAGTGACACAGCAACAATCCAAAGGCTGGTTTACAAATCCCACTGAAAGGGTTACAAATTGTGATGCCTTGACAGCTGTTGGAAGTACAAGTCAGAAAAAAGCCTGAAGGTATCAAGGTGCAATGTTACTTGACGCAGGTTTCTTGCATCAAGCAGTCCTGACGATTCCCTCCCATTTATGAGAGACAACTGGAAATTACAATGGGGAAATACTCATTTTAATTAAACTTATTCCACTATCACAAAGAAGTCTTCCCTGCAACACTTACTAATGGGGAAATACTCATTTTAATTAAACTTACTCCACTATCACAAAGAACTCTTCCCTGCAACTAACGCTTTAATGATTTAGATGCCCACCATGACATACTTCCTATTTTTTCATTGTCTTAATGCCATCTCTTTGCACCAAATTACAGCAATTCGATCTCTGTCCTTCATCTCTACACTGTTCCTGAACTTGTTTCCATATGGATTATTAAAAAACCCAAACCTAACACAATTCAGAACTATTAACTTTCCACAATATTCCCTTCATTCGGTTCCCATTTATCTTCAGGGTTCTCCTTGAAATAATTTGTAATCTGCCACAAGTTTTTGATTTTGCATATTATTTGCAAAAGATGCGTATCGTCACCTAAGAAGTAGAAACACTGCATTAGCTAAGACTACGAAGTGATGGAAGCCTTGGGACCACAAACAGAATTTGCATGCAGATCTTAGTTTTATGAAGAAAGCCATCTTAGAGAGTTGTTTGAATTCAGTTGCAAGGACATAACATTGTACTCTGTGTTGTCACAACTGCTGTCTAACCCAGTCAAGAAAGTGACATGAAAGGGCTTTGATAGCACCGGACCACTCAGTTACAACACAGTCATAACCCGTATTTGGCTCAATATCAGCCTATGTGCACAGGGGATGTTAAAGGGTAAAGACAAGCATGGCATTTTCCCATCCACTGCTGTCTTGCAAAGGAAACCTCCATACTCTTGACTTAACAGCAGCATATTAACGAATCTCTCAAAGGCTACATATTAAAACAGATTTTCTTTTAGATCGTATTTAGAAAGTAATTGTCAGCAGAAAAATATTCTTACGGTAATAATGGCACACAGCTAATGCCTATTATGAATGAAGACATTTCAAAACCTCCAACAGTTATGTTGGCTGAGTATCTGCTGCAGTACTCCAGACTGCACACGAAGCACCTTAAGAGTACAATATTTATCATTTAGTTGTCAGAAAGTGTATATTTAAGCATTTTTGTTATAAATATGGCAACACTTCTCATTGAAGAAAAGATGAAGGCATCAAAAGCACAATAACTATATTAATAATAAGCTTTTCTGTAGAAAGTTAAAAATAAATGTGTAAAACTGATGTTTTCAACCATTGTAGCTGCAAATTCACTTATAAGGAGCAGTGACTCTTCCACAGAGGCCTTTTAGACAGATTTTTGGCGTCTTTAATAAGACGGTAATAACAAATTGAAGGGTAGAAAGTCACTCTTACCTTCCATCTGCATAGTCTGCATCTGCGCCTCCCCACCAGACATCTGAATCATCATCTTCAGCATCAGCTGAATCAAGATTGTCGCTTTCCTCCGCTAACGGGCAGCAAACAAACTCCACACCACGAAACTTGTCGATACCACAGGGCAGCAGCATGCCATAGTCGTGCAGATTCATACTCTTCTCACTACAGGACTACAGAAAATAAAAAGCAAACATTTTTTCATGCAGGAAGCCAGAAAAAAAGTCACAGGCCTCAAGAAAACGTAAGGGGCTGCGTACTGGCTTAGGAGGTAGAAACTGGTGAATGGCATTATTTCTGAATTTTGAAACATGACTTACAGTCATCACGTGTGCATTCACTACCTGCACTGTAGGTAGCTCCCTACCGGTGTCTGCATGACCACTGCAAGCAACAAGCTCTCCCTTCCCCTGCCCTTTAGTCTTTGCCAGTATAGAAAGACTTGTCTTCTCCTATATATTTGACGACTCCTTATCCTCTTGCCTAAAATCCTCACAGGGTCTGCCTCATAAACAGAAAACTCAAAGGCAGAGTGACAATTTCAAGTATTAGTCCTGATCCTGATGTATTAATGCTATTAAAGAGTTCACTGCAAGATAGATTAACATTTAAAATATCTAATATACTGGAAACACACTGTATCTGGTCTGACACCTCTGCTAATACAGTACCTTCTAGCCTTGTTTGGAAAACAGTCAGTTGTGTATAATTATACCTTAAAGATACAGCGACATAGGACAGAAAGATAAAGTGACGTAGGACAGGTAAAAAAAGGAAAATAGTTCATTGGTGCACTGTGATGATGTGATCGTAGGAAACTTGGAATGGCAAGTACTTAAAACAGACTAGAATTTGCCTGCATGAAGGTTGGTGCTTTAAATGCTTCATTTGGGGGGCAACAGTATGATTCAAGCAAGAACTGAAAATCTGAAGCGGCTAAGCACATTTCAACGTTGATCTCCAGAAGGTGGGATAACATACAAACTAAGAGGTTCCCAGCAAACTAGCAGCCAGAAGTTTTTCTGAAGCTCATCTCACTTTTTATTCCTACAACCTTTCTACATAAGAACAAAAATGTCCAGAATGCATTAGTGATTATAACATTAGGTTTATTTCTGTTCTCAAGAAAGCACTAGTAAACTGTAAAAACTCTGTGCATGCCTGCAAAATGTCTTCGGCTAGTCCTACGTCTTATCAGCTCTTCTATGCTGAATTTCACATACTGCATTCTTTCATGCCTGCTTGATCTCTGTGAAGCACCTGGCATACCAATATCCCCATGGAGGACAATGATAAAGCCAAAGCCTAGGCATTAGTGATCAATCTTTAGTTCCAGAGCAGCACTAACACAGGAAGCAAGAGGCAGCAGAAAACACGGTGGGTATGTGAGTGGACGTGGGGGGAAAAAAACAGTGCTATGAAACAGGGTCCACGTTCACAGGTATCCAATAGTGGACTCTGATGTGCTTAGCAGAGTGACTCCTATTTCCTACCTGCTGAACTGACAAAAAGCTATTCACCCAAACATTCGTAAGTACTGCTCTTTTTTCCCCTGTCACTGCTATACTTAAACTCATCCTCAGAAGAGTGATAAAGCTCTAAAGAAGGAAGGCAGGAAATTTTAAGACAGATGAATATACCTCTTTAGCCACAGTATGCCAGTGCAGGTGAGTTTCACACACATCCATCCTTTCCTGGTGAAGGAACTTGCACTTGTCTGGGACCAGAAGGGCATCACTTACAAACTCGCCCACTGAAAGAAAACAAAACAAAAACATAAACATTAATTTTGCTTCCACTTCCTCATCCTTTTAAACCTTTAGCCAGACATAGGGCAACTTTCATAAATGAGTGGCAGGGTCTCTTTGCAGAGAATGGAATAGTTTCTAAATGGTGCTTCCATTATCACCTTCTTCAAACTTTGTTTTTCCTCTCTGATCTCAGAGGTCTATTAGATTATGAAAACTTTAGCGTAATATGCTGACTTCCATATACTGAGCGTGAAACTTGCAGGACCCATTGAAGATGTGTGTGGTGCAACATGAAGTCAGGAGTTGGTGTATTCAGCTCCTGGAAGGGGAAGTGCGGGGGTGTGGAGGGACAATCACATTTTGCATCTACACAGCATCAGGGAGACATTTTGAAGTGTTTTGAAATACTTACTTTTTCCACACAAAACAAATCTGACACCAACACATTGTTTCAAACAATTTGAGAGTATTTCTACTGAATTACAGCACTAACAGCAACACAGTCGACTCAGTTATTTTTATTGATGCAGCCTCATTTCATCAGCCAGACTGGTTAGCCCATCAGCCAGGGAACAAGATGATTCATGGATCACCTGAGTACATGGTCAGATTGAAGGGGCGGGGGGGGGAAGCTCTTTACCAAGGACATAACTGACCAAAGAGATTGTGCTGTCTTCAGCAGTAAGATAAAAATTTAGATGCTAATGAAATAAACAATGGTCACAGCTTCAGTACTAAAGAATAAGAAGAAACTCAGCTGATAAGAAACATGATTGATTAGACTAAAATCACTGTAATTCTGTACAATTCTGGCATTGGAATTAAATAACCCCAATCCCCCTCAAAGATATTTTTAAAGGAAAAATTAGAGTACTTTTGAGAAGTCAATACACTGAACAGACTGGATTGTGAAAGCACATGTGACATACATGTGGTGACTCCAACAATGGTGACATACTCTAATGCCTGCAAATTATTAACAGACATGCCTTCTAGAGATGTCCAAAATAATATTGCAAAAGTAATGGGTTAAAATACTTTCTGGCAACGCAAAATACAAAATCTGCAGCTTCTGTTGACAAAATCTCTGCTCCCAGTGGTATCACACCCAAATCTTGCACTGAAATTTGAATAAATTTGCACCTTGGTTTTAGCTGTACTTATTTTTGTAGGGGACCATCCTGCCACATACCCACAGTCACTCAGTACAGATGTAACTGCTAATGCTTCAATTTAGCTAAGTACCTGAGCACTAAGCAAAGACACAGGTGTTTTGCTGAAGACTCACAGAGTATGTCGACTTGGCTCTCCTAGGACATACGACTTCATACAGAGCTGCAGTTTTACTTTGTTGGCTGTTCAAGCATGTAAAACATTCAGAGCAGTATTTATGGCAAATATTTCTATAAAACTGGAAAAAAGTACAATCCTGGAGTGCATCTTACTCCAGCGAACTAGATCCGATTTCACAAGCTATGCACACAATAATGTGTGCACCTCTGTGTCATCTATCTGACTTCTGATAACCCCTGCATGAAGCTATTCCATTCACCTTAACACCCTGTAATATCGTCAGAGTAGTGCGTGCGTGAATGTAGAAGGCAATTAATGGTATACCTCGTTGCTCAAAAAAACTAGCCTACAAAATTTCAGCAAAAGTAACAAATACTGATGTACCCCTGAGTTACAGCCACCAAATATAAGATGGAAAGCTATAGGTCAAAAGTTCTAGGCAACACAGCCTGGGCTGCAGTATCATTAACAGTATATGTGAGTATATAATTAATTTTTTTTAAAAATAATAATTTATTGAGTGTCTGATTATTTCAACCATCTCATATCAATGCACTAAAGAAATACTAGACATGTTGATATAATCAAAAGTATGGTATTAGATTTGACTTTTATACACAAAATGTGTATCACCTTTATAAAATCATATTCCTTGAAAATACAGTAAGAGCATCCTCCTGGTAAACCAACTTCTCATTTCAAAAGAGGCTCCATTTGCAACCAGTTGCTGAGTTTCACAGAAATAAACAATTCATTGGAACAGGTTTCCCTCTGGTTTTCAGAAGGAAAGGAGGAGCTGGGGAGAAGGGTGGTTGTTTAATGTAACAGTCCTTCATTTTACAGTATTAAAATGAAATATTTAGGGTTGTGAAAACCTGGGCAATAGTAATCACTTGCAGCCTTGCATGTATTTCCTATTGCCTTCAATTACATTTTTTAGCACAAATTAAATTTAATTCTGCTCATTATTTACACACACACAGAGCTTACGCCCTGGAAACTTTTTTCATTCATTTCTTTATCATGATTAATGAAGTTTAAATGCAAAGCTTTGAACTTTTTTCTTTGTTGTTGTTGTTAAAAATAAATTAACATTCAAGTGGCAGTTTGATGAACTAAACTGAGTTCATTTGACAACTGCAACATTTATTTTGCCTGGGCTAGTCTAATAGAAATATAAGTCCATCAGAAAGAAGCACTTCAAACACTTCTGACTTGCAGACAAGCTTCTACATGTATCACTCCAGTACACATTTAACTTTCAATGCTGCTGAATCATAAGCCTGTAGGGATTCTTTGCTTTTTTGAACAAGTAACCTACAGACTACACACGGAAAACAAGTATGTGTGAAGGGAGAGCAATCTTGTGTGTCCTTAGAGAGAGGGCCAATGTGTATGGGCTCTAAAAATAAGGAAAAACTGTAATACTACTTCTGTTTGCCAGTACAAGCCATGACTGAAATAGTTATGCATTAGTTTGTTTTTTTGACCGATGGAGCATCCTAGCCTAGCCCTGGTTGTAGTTTCCACTCTCAGGTGCTGGGATTGCAACACATAATTCAATTCCAAGATTATTTTTCCTTCCAATACAGCAACACAACAACTGGCACCGCTCCGGGCTGCCCTCAACACCCTGCCCACGAGACTCAAGTCAGACAAGCATCTCCCCAGGCAGCAGCACTGCTTTGAAAGCCTCCCTGGCCCTGCATTGTCCCCTTGTCCCTACCAGCACCTTACCCCTACTCCTGCACCAGGGGCAAGCCACAGCTAAACCACAACCATGCCATGGACAGACAGGCTTGCAAACCTTGTACCAAATCCACACCACGAAGCATAGATATTATTACCAACAACATTACCTTTGTCAGGCTTATATTTCTCACTTTTTCTTTTATTTTACAATCACAGAATCATTTAGGTTAGAAAAAAACTTTAAGATCAAGTCCAACCATTAACCTAGCACTGCCAAGTACACCACTAAACCATGTCCCTAAGCACCATGTCTACGTGTCTTTTAAATACCTCCAGGGATGGTGACTCAACCATTTCCCTGGGAAGCCCGTTCCAATCCTTGACAACCCCTTCTGTGAAAACATTTTTCCTAATATCCAATCCTAAACCTCCCCTGGTGCAACTTAAGGCCATTTCCTCTTGTCCTATCACTTGTTACTTAGGAGAAGAGACCGACCCCCACCTCGGTACAACCTCCTTTCAAGTAGATGTAGACAGCGATAAGGTCTCCCCTCAGACTTCTTTTCTCCAGGCTAAACAACCCTAGTTCCCTCAGTTGTTCCTCATAAGGCTTGTGCTCCAGACCCCTCACCAGCTTTGTTGCCCTTTTCTGGACACGCTCCGACACCTCTGTATCTTTCTTGTAGTGAGGGGCCCAAAACAGAACACAGTATTCAAGGTGTGGCCTCTCCAGTGCCAAGTACAGGGAGATAATTACTTCTGTAGTCCTTGCTGGCCACACTATTCCTGATATAAGCCAGGATGCTGTTGGTCTTCTTGGCCACCTGGGCACACTGCTGGCTCATATTCAGCCGGCTGCCCACCAACACCCCCAGGTCCTTTTCCGCCAGGCAGCTTTCCAGCCACTCTTCCCCAAGCCGGTAGCACTGCACAGGGTTGTTATGACCCAACTGCAGGACCTGGTACTTAGCCTTGTTGAACTTCATACCATTGGCCTCAGCCCATCGATCCAGCCTGTCCAGATCCCTCTGTAGAGCCTTCCTACCCTCAAGCAGATCAACACTTCCATCCAACTTGGTGTTGTCTGCAAACTTACTGAGGGTGCACTCAGTCCCCTTGTCTAGGTCACTGATAAGGATATTCAAGAAGACTGCCTTCTTTTTTGCCTTCTTCAGCATCTCTTTTATTTTGATTACAGCTGTACATCTGTGCTCTGCTGAGGTACTCTAATAATGGACCACGATGGCACAACTTGCCTTTTGGTGAGCTCATAACTCACTAAACCTCCTCAAGCAATTCAACACACAATTATAACAGTTCCTCTTTTTCCAGTGGCTGCTTACCCAACTCTTGCAGGGAAGGACTAGATAAAGTCAGATCCCTCTCATTTGTGGGTTTTTGACATGCCTGGAACGTGAATTCTGGGCAGAGATCATGTTATCAGGTTAGAAAAACCCACCGCCTTACTACAATTCCTGAAAGCCAATGACCTGAAGGACAACAATTCACTGCTCGCCCTTTTGAAAATAAGTTGCTTGTTCATAACTCAAATCTATGTTTTTTAAAAGCAACATTTAAGTTACTGTATCCACTGTCTGCACATCATCGAAACACCAATCGTATCAACGTAGTAAGATCCATTTTAATTTCATTTTACAAATCTCATTTATTTTCCTAATGTCTATAATCCCTTTTCTGATGCCCAATTCTCATTTACATTTGTAGTGGACTTCCTCATACCGCCCAATCCTGGTGTTTCACAACAGAGTGGCAGTTCACATTTTTCAAAGACAGTTTTGCCCAAGATTATGATACCACATTTTACTATTAAATAATCTTACTTCACTCAAACACATCCTCTGAAAAATACTTTTGGAACAACAGATTTGGTGCTGTAAGACCAGTAGTTCTCATTCAGAAACTTCATTTTTCAACCTAGCAAAGAAGAGCATTAAGACTCAACCTCTAATAAAAGAATTAGGATTATAGTGAGGGCAACTGATCACACACTCTTTTA